GGCCGACAGTGCCTTCTCCTGTGGTCCCAGGAATCTGTCCTCGTACCCGATGACGTAGTCATTGCTGTCAATATCGGGATCCCATCGCAGTCGGTTCAGCACATCAAGCGCCGTGCGAAACTTGCCTATCCCCTCGGGCTTCGGATTGGCTGTTCCTGAGCGCTGTTTCGCTGCTTTTGCCTTCTTGCTCAGCTTTCCGGCGGCGAGCCTCTCTTGCGCGGCCAATTCTTCCTCATTCTCGTCCTCGGTGTCATCCTCGTCTTCTGTATCCGAATCGTCATCGCCGTCGATGTACACACCCCATTCGCGATCATCCAATCGCAAATTTCCTAGCTCATTCGTCTTTACAATGCTCGCGCAGAACCATGATGTAGTGGAATCGAAGTACTTCTCGTCACTCAGAATCATCTTCTCAAACTGCTGCAAAACAGCCCTGAGATTGCTTTGTGCAACTTCCAGGTCGCCCCGTCCTGGCTTCTCGTCCGGTTCCATCCATTCCAGACCGACGAGGTAAGAGCCTTGATAATCGCCTTGGGTGTTTTGGGGATCGCACGTAGATGCGTCGACAAATCTCGCGGGCCAAATTCTCGCCGAAAGCTGCGGGACTCTTCTGTTGATATCTATGGGTGTTGTCAGCAAACAAGCAGCACGTAGAAATGGGGACAGGGTTCGCAGGCTACTTACCGACAAGGAGAGAGGCACATCGAGACTCCAGCCAGCCAATGAGCCTACTTCCACGCTCTAGAGATGCCCCCCAGTAATGTACACGCAAGTCCACAAAGGACCGGAACGACGTGAGAAAGTTCGCGGCGCTAGGCGTCATGACGTTATCTCGGCCGGGCTCTAGCACCGGTAGCAACGATTCCCAAGTTGCTCCGTCAGCAGATAGCAACTTGTTAGCTTGGCGGAGTTCTGTTGAGATAATCTTGACGGTCGGGACGGAGGCGTTGAGTGCCGTATTAAGCGTTGGCGAGTGCCACCCGAGCAAGACCAGGGCTTCTCTGCTTGTTCGATGATATCTAAGGTTCTTGTGGAAGAATGGATCGAATACCATGTCCTTTAGCCAGTCAAACCGCGCATAATGCTCGAAGAAGGTCGCAATGATATCAGCAGCAGAAACGGTGCCGCCATTGTGTACAAGCACCTTGCAGACATTAACCAACATGACGGTCAAGTTAGTGCCCCCAAGATACCCAAACTTGGCAGCGTAGATTCCGCGCGCCTTGGCCCAAGTCTTGATAGCTTGATGGCTCAACCGGAACTGGGCCAAGTCTGGAACGGATCGCTGGAGATAGAATAGATCTCTCGCGGGCTTCAGCTTCAGCAGTGTCTGGGCAGACAAGCTGAAGGCTGGATCTGACGCGGGACGCTTCAGAACGTCAGGCCACTCGTCCGCGATGTTGGGTGCCTGGCAATACTGGAGATCGCATCTCACGCCGAGAACCTCCACCTCGAGCATTGTGCCGGTCTTGGCTTTGACTTTCCTTAGAAGCCGAATACCAGGGATACCTGCTTTTTTCAGTCTTTGCCTGGTCAGAGTGAAGAAGACACGGGGACTGATGGATCCGATGAAGAAGCAGTCGATATCGGAGTTCCTGGACCACGTGCCTAAACCATAGGATCCTACGGGGACGAGCACAATTGTCGGACGGCCTCGTTTGTTGTCCACGAGTGGCTGGTCGGACTCGATTAAAATTTGACGAAGCAATTGAACAGCCTCATTCCGAGCTGTCTCATCCTCCGCCGAGGGAAACACCTCATGATTCTCCAGGCACTTAGTAAGTTCTGTGGTATCTGACAAACCGTCTGGCGCTCTCTTAATATTGATAGGAATCGCCCGCGCATCGCTGGCGGCATCTTTTGCGTGAGAGCGCTGCAATAGACATCGAACACCCCAGTGATCACTCGGGTACAGGGGCTCTTGTCCGGTCTCGCTGTCGCCAGTGACGAAGCCGAACATGTTGAAGCGAGATATCTGGAAAGAGCAGGTGCCCTTGACCAAGATGCGGTCGTACCGTTGGGGTCGGTTACCCAATCCGGTACCAACCATCTTGCTGGCGTGGGGGTTTGCAGTAGGGTCAAAAGTTGCTCCTTGCTCGCCCTCGAACATCTGGTTGAGGTCCCCTTTGAAGTTATCACTCACGCCGGCTTCGATGCGCGAGACCATCCATACGTCGAGGAGTTCGGCCTTTGCCAAAGTTGTTTCGATGCTTCGGAGGACATTCTCTGTCTGGACCGTGATGGCCCCCTTTCTGACGGCGGCGTCGATAGTGTAGGAAGATGTTGTGATATTGAAATCACCCGCGATGATCCATTGATGCGAAGCGTATTTGGACTTGAGGTGACTTAGTAATACCTGGAGTTCTCTAAAGAGGACATTTTAGTACAGGTAGAAGATCAGGTCAGGCGGTATTCTATAGCTAACCTTTCCTTTGTAACCACAGCGCCGTCTGTCAGACCATGGCTCAGGTGACAAGTTGCCAGTACTAAAGGAGAAGTAGGTTCCTCTCCTTCGCTGTGTGCCAGATCACCGAAGCTGATTACGCATGATCCCTTGTGCGGGCGTAGGAAGGGAAGATACTCCCATGAAAATGGGTGCTTGCTGAGGACCACATGATTGAGTATGCTGGGTAATGGACCGGCATTGGGGTCGTCAGGAGACCCGTGGGAGGCATTGGGGTACAATTTGCGAATTCTGTCGTCATTGAGTAAGAATGGTAAGAAGTCGTCCGTCACTTCTTGGAGTACCAAGATGTCTGCAACGGCATTTCGTGCGAGTAGGTTGTCAATGATGACGGGGTATCTGCTACGAGATGGGGGCCATTCGAACTCTGCCAAAACGTTCCAGCTGGCGACGATGAGGTTCTCCACTGCCTTGATCTCTGGGTGATGTGAATATGTGTTTGAAGAGGCCGGCCGCCACCCCAACTCCTGGCTGGAGAATCTCCATGATTGCTGAGGGATAACGGCAGAGGCCAACTTAGGAGATAATCCAAACGAATCATCGCATTGACTAAGCGAAGGCGAAACAAGGTCAATGAGACCCCAGAGGCTCATTTGACCGGAAGAAAGACGAACTAGAACGGCCAGTTGGGTTACCTCCCAACTGACCGGTTGTAGGCGTCGTAGCTTCCCAAGGAGGAAATTGAGTTTAGATGGTCCTGCCGTATCCTCGCACTGAGCAATCGTCATGTGCATGTGGTATGGAGCAAGGCGCGTCTGGCCGATAGCCGTGAGAACCGTGGTGCGTAAAGAAGCAAGGCGACGAGTCCTCTTTTCGTCCTTGTCACACAGAAACAGAGTGCTGCCGTGCTTATTCTCAAAATAGTCTGGTGAGTCGAGGGAAAGGGGTATGCTAGCGAGGTCACCAGTCTCCTGAAGAGCCTTGAGGGAATTGACAATGGCATCGGATGCTTGATGCAGAGACTCCGAATCTGCAGACCTCGTGAATGGGTAAACGAGGTTGACGTGAGGTGGCCATTTTGCGTAGGCCTTGTCATTTTGGAAACGAAGACGGTCAATTGATGGCCACTGTTCCCTTGGTGGAATGAGGCAAAGAGCCGTGTCGTGTGTGGATGAGACGCTGAACTCCATGGGCGTTGGTCTCTTGGTTTCCGTAATGGCTTTGATTGCCAGTAGTTTTCGTAAAAGGATAGATGTGTAGATAGTGAATGGTTTGAAATGCCGCGAGCCCAATCTGATAGGAAAGGAGTAGAATTCTTGTGTCGATTGGTAATGGGCCCAGCGGGATTATACGAGGATGCTATGTGTACTCGACGATCGAGATTGCCTACATGTAATAAAAAGGAACAAGACTTGCGATGGCTTTTGTATTGAGCGGCCCAAGTGAGAAACTCGACTCTTCCAGCCAGAGGCAAGGTCCGTGTAAGTGTAGGTGTGTATGCTTACTGCGTAGATGTGCAGGCTGAGTCCAACATGGCAATTGAATCAAACCGATTCTTGGCCGCATCCCATTGGTGTATTCAGTATGGAACGAGACTGGCTACCCCTGCAATTATACGATAGCTTTCCCATTTACGGAGCACGCATTACTGTGGGAATGTCTTCATTGAGTAACCGGGGCTAAGGCTAAGGTAATTGCGGGGAGTGGGAGTCACTGGCCGAGTGTGTCACTGCGTCGGGCAGTCTCGTCCCGCTTTCCACTCACCTCTACCATGCATCCGTTTGCCGAGACCTTTGGTCTCGATGCGCTGACTAGGAGGTAAGCATATGGGTTGATCCCAAGTCAATGGATCGAAAAACTGGGATCGCAAATTTGCCCATGTCCCGGAGCGTCAAGACTACTGTAGGTACCTGTTCGGAAGGGCCTAAGAGGCGCAGGCGGCAGGTCTGGGGCGATGCGGGGCGGTGACTCACTGTCGTCGGTTGTTCCATCCGAAAGAGGCAAGCTGCATGAGACCCTGCCAATTTGCCAATTGCTGCTTCCTTGCAAGCCCTCTCTGCCTTACCACACCTGCCCCGTATGTACATAGTAACGCTTTATCGTTAACCTCGTACTTGGCGTAGAATGAGGCTCATATCAGCTAAATACCATGGCAAGACTTGCCAAGTTATGCATCTACTGCGAGGATACTCACTGGTAAAAAAAAAAACTTGATCAAAACCAATCTCATGTCACTGCGCGCGTGTCTTTCTTGCACTCGTTAACCTTCTCTTTCTTTTTCTCACTTTCTGCCTTCTGCCTAATGAACATTCATATAGCTATCTTGAAAATTTCCCAAATAGAAGTATCCTGAAAGTGCCAAACAAAATCGATACCGGAGCCTGTTATTCAGTTCTAATTTTGACTTACTGCATTCGACTTTGTACAGCATCAAGTTAGACCGCGAGAACTAATCACAGATCAGCCATTCTTAGGCAATGCAGTACACAATCTCCATATGGCTCAAACGCCAAATTTGGGTATCATCATTCATCCAAAATCGCACTCAATTCCCCGGCCAAGCGAGATATCATGCGTCACGACTCCTGCGAGAGTCTCACACGACGTGTTCCTCAAGCTCGGGTCCTGTCCCTCCCCAGTCGATGGACGCCACGCCCTTGCCCTTGCCCTCCATGAGTGCCTCCAGCTTGTCCTCGTTCGTCACGTACGCCCCGTTCTGCCTTTTCTGCGCCATGGCATACTTGATTGAGTCTCTCCATTCCTGCGAGAAATATCGTCAATAACTCAAGGTTGACAATAGTTGCGACCACAGCTTCTACAAGGGCACTGCATGTCATTTGGGAAGCTGCACTTACCCGCCACCACACTTCTTCACTCTGCACCATGCACCTCCGACCCTCCTCGCCGTTCCTGGCCGTCGCAAAGGGCCACACCGACTGTACCACTTCGTACTTGTGCTTGCTTGTGAAAAGGTTCTTCATGCCCATGTAGAGCTTGCTCGGCTTCTCGGCACTCTTGACCTTGACCTTGGCATGCGTCACGGGAAACGAGATGTTGATCTGCCCCTTGTACTGAGTCGAGGCGATCAAACTACGAATCTGGCCCTCAATGTAGAGCGTGTCTAGATTGGCAACAACTCGTTCGAGTGCTTCAAGGCGAGGGCTTCAGGTTAGACATAGTTCAACCAATCGCATACCGTGTAACGCAAGGCGAACTCACCAAAACTCTTGATGGGCGCCGGATCCTCGATGAATCGGCGACACCACTCATCCAGCTCCCTATCACCCACCTCGGGGAGGACATCGGGCTTCGCGCCGCCACGGAACGCGACCTCGCCCGGCGCAACACACCGAATGTAGTCCAGACGCTTGCCCATGTCGTCTGCCACCAACAGGCCCATAAGGTTCATTTTGAAGTCAAAATCAATAGTGCGACCACGGTTGCCTTTGATATGTATCAACGGCTTGGGTGGGATGCTCGCCTGGGATCTGACGAGCCCTATCAGCGCGCTAGCGCTCGCTGTCAGATACTCTGCCTTGGACGACAGGGTGGTACAATCGGGCGATAGAGTGAAATTTGGTGGTGAGTAAAGCTTGTAATCCAGCCTGGGTAGACCGGTATAATTGTGAATTCCGTGTATCCCTTGGGAATCGTGTGAAACAGACGTCTCCGAGCTATTGGAGGGGCTTGAATATGGTGGGGGCTCCGAGGTACTGGCGCTGTCGGTTGTCAGGTCATCATCAATAGAACGATTTGCCAGCAATGCCTTTTCTGTTACAAAAGAGGACGATGCTGCGTTCATGCTAGATGTCGACGCCGGTGCCGGAGGCGGCGGCGATGCTCTCACTGTCATTGGGGGCAGTGGCAATGGTGGAAGCTCTGCTGGCAACTCCGAGGGGCCCGAAAAATCTGTTGGCAGCGCTGGTAGTGACCGAGAATGCAACACCACTGATCGCCCATCACTCAGCGTTGAAGCCATCGTCAAGTCTTGCGGAATGTTGTAATGGCTCGTGGGTGTGGGTTTGGGCGTGGGTCGGTACAAGGCGTAACCTGGTCACTCAGCTAGATCGGATGAACCGCAGAAGGTGGCCGATTGTGTGGCAGCGGTTGATCAAGCCAGAGTCAACGTTAGGGTAATTAGAGACTATTCGAAATTGGTTCATAAAGGGAAGAGGCACGGTGAAGAGAAGACTTGGGAGTAGAACAATAAGGCGGTAAAGGGAGAGGGGAATGGTGACGAAGAGACCTGCATGGTCATCAGTTTTCCCCTCTGAATACAAAAGTAGCCCGCACCGGGCCTCGCTATTAAGTATTACCTTTAGAACCCGACGAGAGGTGAAGACCAAAGTCCCTGAAAAAAGAAATCACCTCAGAAATGTCAGACTAGGGTTTGAATTAGGCACCACCATTCTTCTCCAGCCCCCATGCCGCAGCGGAGTGCGAATGGAGCCTGCCCCTGCCCGCCGCATGCATCAGCCACGGCTCACGGTCCTCGGCCGGTCCTGGGTAGTGGGTTGCCGCTCACGTATCCGCGTAACTGTACAAAGATAACTACCGTATTGTATCCGTACGAAAACCTACCTTTCCATTGGACCTCGGTTCGTAAGCACCAAGCCGCTTTTGGCGTCAATTTGCCTCGAAGGATCATCACCAACAGCCCCATCTCATCATAAACAATGAAAGGCCAACTCCGAACTTGCGAATCGCCTTGCCCACCCTCATCCTACAGCCTTTGGGGCAAACCAAAATTGATTACAGACCTTGGAGCCGGCTGCAGAGTCGGGAGCTCCCATCCCAATCCCAGCCCGGGTGAGTTGATCCATAAGTGTACAGAGCCGCACTATAGAGCCACAAGACAACGGATCACGGAAGCGCGGCAGCTGTCTACAGGAGCACAATTCGAAGGCGTTAATATTCATCATTGTCATCATTGCGATGCGTATGCCTACTAACCGAGGTGATGCCAATATCGCTATCCCCTCAACCCAACGCCGAGTAGAAACGCCCTTACACGCCCAAATTGTATTGAGGCACCGCCTGATCCGCTTGGTGATCGAGGTAAGGTAGTATGCATGCCAAGCTCAATCCACCAACGCCTAGGTAACCGAATTCTCAGAAACAATGCCAGTCAGTCCTCGTCTCGTACAGTCACTCACGGGCGTGATTCGTCCATCTGCCGACTTTAGACGAGCTGGAAACCATCTTCTTCAGAAACGCGGCCGCCTTCCTGGCGTAGGTTTTGGCGTGCCTTGCGGCCCTTGAGAACCTGACCATTCTCATTGAGAATTTCGTACTCCTTCTCGACCATACGCTCCGTCTCGCGACCCGTTGTCGTCTTGACAAATATGTCCAGAGTCATTGGTCGGCCGGGGCTTTCAACACGATCAAAGCTGTACTTCCAGTCCTCAGTGGCAGCGATGTCTCCATACAAGTCTTGCGATGGCGCCATATTCATGACGGAACGGCTGAGAGGATCTTTGATCTGTTCCTTGGCGCGAGCTGCCGAGCGCAGCCGTCCTTGCGGGAACTCCGAGTGTGACCGGAACTTGCTGAAGTTCTGCATATGCTTCTTGTAGTGAGAACTATTGCGAGTATTAGGTGTACTGCTAGAATATACGGTTACAAGCGTTCAGGGGGAAGCGTACGTCTCACTGTTTCTGGCCCGAGGCCGTGTCATGGCTCGCTGTTGCTCAGTTCCGCCAACAGCGTCAAGAGTATACCAGTCGAGATGGCACCCGGCCAGAGGACGAGCTCCGTTGGACCACTTGGACCGTGAATCCTTTGATCTTTTGAAATCTTGGTTGGCGCTTCGCAGGTCGCGTTCGAACTGGGCCGGAGATTCGATTGAAGCGGCCATGGTGTCTAGGTTGACGGAGCACGGTACGTGGAAAAGGTAGATGAGGAAGAAGTATCGATATTCGTAATAGGTAAGCAGTCGTCAAACCGCTTTCCGATTTGGGTGAAGGTAACGTTTGCCTGGCTGGAGAGAGCCTTGAATATGGAGTAGGTGTCGAAAGAGTTTGGGGAAGGGGCTAGGGGACAAGTAGATATAGTCGATGTGAGGGCAAGTGAAGGAGCAGTGAGCGCTTCGGTGACTGGCTCGGGGGAGGTGGCTACCTAGCACTAGTAGACTGAGGCCAAAGGAAGGAGGAGGGTCCGGGCAGTAGGAGGCAGGTTGGATGAGGTAATCACACCAAGGCGGACGGAAGTGGCCGGGTGAGTCACCGGACAAAGCTGAAGGGCTGAGTTGCCGAGGATGATAACAAGGATTCGAGACGGAAGGTAGCGTCGAGATCGAGTTCTGGGCGGACGCAGGTAATGTCGAATAAGGTACACGTAGAGTGGGGTGAGCATACAGATACAGATTTCGTAGCAAGGTAGAACCAGGTTCGTGTTGGAGTTGTCAGGAAACAGATGAAGAGGTAGAGAAAGACGGAATTCGCATGGACAAAGGTCGCGGGATGACGGATGTGATATAGTTGGCAACGGTTAGTAAGGCGCCTTCCATCGAGGTAAGGCAAGGAAGACAGATAAGGCAATGGGAGGTAAGGTAGGTTGGACGAGCCACAGTGCGCATGGTTCAAAGGGGATGGGGGAGGCGCGCGTGTCCCAACTTTTGGATCTGGAGACTGGAGCCAAGCTTGCCAGGCTGAGTTCCAACTTCAGATGAGACGGAAAGGGCGTGACGGAGTGGGTTGGTCGCGATGCAGGCACACCGCACGCCTGGGCTGTAAAGGCAGGACCTGGCGCGAGCAAGATGATGTAGGTAATGCGAGATGAGTGTCAGACGCGCTGGTGGTGGCCTCTTGACCGGGAAGGGGGCTCATCGTCTCGGCTTAGCGAACAGACGGGCGATAAAGCTGGATGATAGTGCACTTGATACGTTGATAAGGTAGGTACGGTCCATGATAAAGCTCGGGGCGTGTGGATGCGATGGATGGAGGGGGAGGGGGGTGTACCTTAAGGCAAGGTAACGTGGAACCTGTTGATGAATGGCCTACGGATAGGTACGGATAAGGTATGACGAATCGCGAATTCCATTGTTTGGGACTGCAAGTCTGCGAGTGCTGCAGAATGCAGAATGTGCGGAGTCAAAAGCAGATAATACTTCCCCCCGTCCCTGCTGCACTTTCCTCTGCTTTTGGGCCGAAACCCATGGCTCCTCCCAATCAGAGGGAATCCGGAAGGGGCGTGGCGTGGGGAGGACACTGCGACAGTCATCCGGCGTTGCAGACTGACTGGTGGACTGGAAGGAGTCACCCGGTCTCGCCATCCCCCCCCCCCCCCAAAAAAAAGAAGCCGGCTGCTACCGCTAGCTGTCTCGGGGTTCCTCGATAGAGAAAGGCCTTGTCCTGTCCTGTCCGCGCCTACCTACCTTACTTTTACTGGTTGATGTCATTCAATGCATGCGGCGTGCTCGCAAAATGACGACAAATGCCGTATTCAACTTGCAACATGCACACTGTGACACCCGGGGTACGCTGGGTAAGGTCCTCATCCTTCACGAATCCCCCCATCATCAGCTAACCAACTAACGTAGCCTGCCCGTGCCTGCCTTTCGAAGGGCTATGTGCCTGGCATTGGCGATTTACTATTGGGTGAAGTTGGCCTCTTGCCGCTGGAGGGCTGCCAACTCAGCTCGGTTGTGGTTGCTCAGGTCATATGGCCTCCCTCACTGGCACCCTCCTTCTCCATTGACTAGCTTAGGTAAGTACGTAGGCAAGTGCTATTACGACAGTAACCACCTTTTCCCTCCACCTCAGTCCGAGTAGGTAGCTACTCGGGTAGATTTCGCAGGTTTTCTGCCATGGAAGGGCCAACACTGTCCCCATACCTTGAGAGCCTTGGGCGTGACTATTGCCTTTGATTGTTTTGCCGGGAAATGATATCACCGGGTCAGGAGGACGTCATGGTCGATTTGATACGGGCTAGAGTTGTCATCAGCCTGTTCAAAATTGTCCAACTGCAAATGCCTACGAGAAATCTAGGCTGGAGATTTTTGACATGCTCATTATCAGAAAATGCAGTTAAGAGATTTGAATCGCAAGGTGCTAGAGACTCGCTTTTGCAGTATCTGCTTGTTACTCCCACATCCCAGAACAGATTGCGCATGCGCATGGGTGATTACCTCACCCTCTCAAGTCGATGTTGTTTTCTATAACTCCCGTAATCCATCCCGAGTCTATCTGTTTGTTTATGGCAAACATCCGTAGACCCGTGGACCGGTGGACTGGGCGGGACCCTCGTGAATGCCTCGGACGCCACGACACCTGCTCCTCCGCCCGGCTTGTGCTCGGGCTTAGTCAGAAGACTTGGCGCTCAGCGCACGAGCCAGTCGACATTTCACCGCAATGCCCGGGACGGGCTCGACCTCCACTTGGATACCTACTAATTACCTGTGGACGCTGCTGCGGCCTGCCAACTGCTCACGGGCCCATGCCATGAAACCTCGACACTTGCAAACTCTCTCGCATTGATCGTCCACCGGCTTGGCAACCATCACGAATGTGGTGGCATCTGAACAATTAGAAAAACCACACCAGATAGCAGAATGCAAAGGACGAAACCCTCCGTCATTGCCAGCATCTAGACCGTGCCTGCCAAGATGTGCGACTTCTCCACTTGCAGTGAGTGATTAGTAGCATAATGTAATATAACTCATCAAGTTCTTCAATACCTAGCTGGGACTTTCTCTCGTGTCCTACTCTCCGGCTCCCTTTCTCTCCGTCGCCGACGGGCTATGTTTGGGTCCGGGAATTCCCCGTTCTAGCTGCATGATTCAGGTCGGGATGGCTTGACATAACCTTATTCCCCGCCGTGCCTGACTTCAGCATACGATACGGAGGCCAGGTCGAGGACAACACGATACCAGAGGGCGATGGGGATGCGCGACGTCTGAGCAGTCAGTTCACTGCCATCTTCCATGTATTTGAATTGAGGTCAACGCCCACGATGGATCGTGCTACCGGGGTGGCCGGTGAACTATCGGTTGTGGCCCTTCAGACCTCAGTGCGCGCATCTCAAGGCCATCCTTAAATCGTTTACGAATACAGCATCGAGCAATATGCAGAGCACAGCCAATCCCCACGATCCTACCCGTCACTCTAAAATCACAGAGACCCGTTGTATCCGTCTTTCTGAACGACGACATGCAGTTACTACACGGGCGCTGCTGGCCGACTGCTCCCTTTCATGGCCGAGACTTTTGCATCACAGCTCAACGAACTTGATCAAGCACGAGCCGAACCCCGTTGTCTCGATATTATTGACTGCTTTTGTTCGGCCAGCGTATCTCAAAGTAAAAAGGTTCTGACTCCTAAATTGCTCAAGGTACTGCCAAGTACGCCCTCGAGCTAGCGCTCTGTCCTTCCCGCTTCCAGTCTATTTTTTGTCTTCGTTTCGGGGCAAATCATGACCTAGTGTGGCAAAGATCCACGCTAACCACACTTGCGAGATGCATGGCAAATGAAGGAGCGTAGGAGTCGTCGGATATTTTTGCTGCTGGAGATCTTTCTTCTCGCGGATACGAGGACAAAGAAGAGCACGACAGAAGGCTACAACGGTAACTTTGCAGATGTCCATTACCTAGTAGGTTGCATTATCAACTGATTTGCGACCACTCGCCTATCCGCTCGACCCACCAAGGCACCTATGGGCTCGTCTACCGAAGAACTCAAGGAGCGCCTCAACTCTATACACCACGCGAGTACTACCCAGACGCCGGTTACGGCTAGAAGGAAGCTACCAAGATGGTAAATAGAGCCCCATTCTTTCTTGTTATGTTTCGAACTGTCTTGTTTCGAATCTTCTTGGCCCACCGTCTGCTGGTTTAGTGGCTTCTTTCACCCTTGTTCACACCTCTACCAGCTATACCTGGCCCGGCGATTCTTTTATCTCATCTGAACGTCAATTAGCTGACCGATGTCAAGCTCGAAACAAACAAAGGAGCGGCTGTATCTTCAACCGCATCATCCGCCCATGTCTTTCAATCCTAACGGTTACACAGGGCGGTTTTTAAATTCTGTCTCGACGATGAACGCCACTCCCAAGCGTTCGGGCGCTGGTAGGCACAATGCCTCGTCCCGACGATGCTCGGTCGAGTGTCGTCTTTCCTTGGCCTCGGTTCATCTCCACAACCTCATTCCACCTGAGAACTGAAGGCTCTGCTATGCCTTTGCTAGCGAGGCTGACTTAGTGTGTTCTTGGCCCTCCAAGTGGCAGGTTGAGCTTCCATGCTTTGTCCATCGCACAAGGTCCCTGAGTTGCTCGTCCGGTAAGGGCTCCACATAGGATGGATCGCCGTCCGAGCCACTGACCAGCCGCTCACTCTGCGAACCCAGGATGTGTTGTTGGGTGATGCGGTAGCTTCTCAGGTATACACTCCCGGCTAGTTTCTTGACATCCACAAGCGTGTGGTCGAACAAACCTCCTCGGCGCCACCATCTAGGTGGATTTTGAGGGAGGTGCTATAATGGCGTGGTCAAGTTGTATATATGTCTCTCACGAGTCTCTTCCCTCAATCCGGATTCTCTCTTGTCTCTGTCCTCATCACCTTAACTTATCTCCAAGTCCTCACATATCTTTTTGCTTGAGAGTCATTATTTTATAAACGACATAGCGGACGGGCTGAGCATCGCCACCATGTCTCCTGCCAGCAAATTCCTCGGGCTCTTCAGCCTTGTAGCAACTGCTCAGGCAGCATGCTCTAACTTTATAATAGACGACTTTTCAAGATCATCCGTTGGCGGAGTCAACAAGTTCAATTCGTGGACCAGTGACGACGGTTCCATGTCAAAGATCGCCATCACCAACGGAGCACTCACCTTCACTCCCAAAGCCGATACCACTTCATACTTC